TTTCCAGTCTTTTAGCGCAAATATTCGTTGAAGAAAACTTCCTTCCTGCACTATTACCAAGTTATTTCTGCTATTCCACGTAACCTCCTCACAAAAGTAAAATCCAAGGATTTAACATCTGAAAGTATTAGTCATGAGGACCCGGAATCCTTCCGTCTAACTGAAAATGTAAATATAAATTTGCTCAATGCAAAGTCAAAAGACTTCTATTGGCTAAGTATTCATCGGAAATATAATGATCAGCATGCAGGCCCAAGGCGATGGAACAAAAGTATTACAGAGGACAAAACAAATTGGGGAAACATATTTAGGTCGGTCCGAAAAGTATGCAAGGAAAACAAGTTAAGAAAATTCCACTTCAAATTCATTCACAGAGTTGTTGTCACAAAGAAGGAACTGTTCCGATTTAACATCAAACCAGATAGCAATTGCGTTTATTGCAGGGAATCAGACTCCATAGATCATACCTTTATTGCGTGCCAGTTCACAAAATACTGTACTCAAGAAGTATTACAATGGTTTAATGTAAATAATTGTTCTAATTTCATTCTAAACGCTGAAGATGTTCTCTTTGGCTTTTTCTCTGCATCAACACTCTAACAAAGAAATTGAATTATACTCTTCTCTTCTTGCGCCATCATATTTATAAATGTAAGCTCCAAAATAGCTCACCACCACTACAGATCATTGATTTTATCAAATTCAAGTATAAAATCGAAACGATTAATTAATGTTTTACAACGCAAAGTTCCTCTTCTTCTCCTTATTTCTCTTCCTCTTTGAAGATTTGAAATAACAATTAGGGAAATACTGTAAATTAAAACACAAAGGAGCCATTTAACTTGAGTCTTAGTCGGCATGTCAGGGCTATGGTTTGAATGAGTTTTGACTGAGATGGGCGATGTATGTGTCTCAGACTTATCAGATTGGAAATTCTATGTTGTGGACAATTTCCGAAAATATATACTAAACGTTTTAAAAATACCTTTCTTAATAGAATTAGTTTTAGATATAAATTAGCAATGTAGACTTTTCAAATTCTTGTCTATTTAATAATTTTAATTTAGCATTTTTAGTAAATTTTTGATATTGTAAGTGCCCATTAAATATTCTACTCTGTAACTTTTGATATGTATTTTTAAAAAGTGAATAAAAACAAATGAATGAAACCATCATCATTTGGCGGTGTTTCACGCTTTGATTATGATGCCGGGAATTATAAGTATGACTTACAAATATATACTTGGAGAGAAGGTGTTTTGGAATGAGAATTTCTAGTGATGAGTATTGTGGAAATACCGACAGAAATCACTGAAACCAGCGAAAGCGTTACCTTGAGGTGGAACAAGCCAGCGCTGGTTCACGGAAGTGGTGCTTCTAACAGTCCGTGTATGGCGATACTGACAAATTAAAGGTTTTTCCGCACTCTCAAGATCACTGAGTCGTTCTGCGTTGTTTTACGTTGTTGTATGCTGGATTATGATGCAGGTCGGAACTGAAACTACAATCCGATATATATTTTTTTGGATTTGGATGAAAGGTTTTATGCTGTGGAAATACGAACAGAAATTTTGGAATCAGTGAAATTTTCAGCTTAAGGTGGAAAGGACAAGCGCTGTCTTCGTTTTTTCGAAGCTAAGGTTTGGATGAAGAGTAAGTGGGTACTTTTCAGTCAATAGTGATCTAAGTGTATATTTTTCACCACTTTATAGCGGAGCTCCGGCGGCACGAAGGGCCGCCAAGCGGCGCACCATACTCTTATAAGAAAGTACAGGAAACCCATGAATTGATTTTCTCATGGTTATCATGGCTAGCGGTATTGCTCGTGGGCGCGTACGCACGACGACGACGGTGGAGTCGCGCAAGATTGTGGGCGGCCATATTACAGCTAATCTTATCTATAACAAAATTGTCTTTCGTGATTGGTTCTCGGCGCGCCTATTTTTCACGTAATCAGCGCGCGATCACCTGAGTGTCCAGTTACAGGTATCCAACATGAACTTTTTCTAAATGGATACCCACGTGATTTGCACGTCAATTACACGCGCTTTACTGGCTTTCTTCGCGATGTTTTATACAGTTTTCAAAACTTATGAAAAGCACCAAAGACGTTTTCGATGAAAATAAGTTCACAAAAGACATCTCCGAAATTTGTTATAGATACGATTAATTAGTAATTGGACCTCATGCAGTACAATAAGCCACTTTCGACATATTAAAATTCAGCTTGATAGTGAGGCCTAGAGGACACAAACAAACGAAATGAATGAACATGGTCATTCAATCTCCTTTGTTTGTGTCCTCTAAGCCTCACTGCCAAACTGAATCTTAATATATCGAAAGTGGCCAATTCAGGGAGTAATCGTGCTCGTAATTTCAAATGGGCCTCGCGCTTCGCGCTCGTCCGATTTTGAAATGACTCACGCGATTACTCCCTGAATTGTACTCCACTCGGTCCAATTACTATTAGTAATAGGTTGACAGCGACATGCAGCCTTGGTTTATAGCGTACTTCTTTGATATTGGACATCCATGTTATGGTCAACTGACACCTATCAAAACAAGGTATCCACTGACCAGTGTCAAGTGACCATATCAAGTTTAGAGCTCATCGAGGTCAGATGTTTTTTTAAAGTTGATCGCTGATCAAGTGCTGGCTGTCGGTTGGATCGCCGGCTCATGTCAGGTTAACTTGTTGTAAATATTTGTTTGGAATCCGGTTAAAGCTAACCCAGGATTAAAAGTTAACTTAAGTATAAGTTTTTCGTGTATACAAATGTTTTTCACTGCTTTTGTTTTGTGTGATTTGAGATTATTCAAAATTAATCGAACTTTGAACAACCCGGCCCAGGAGCTACGCTTTTAGGCTTGGCTAAATCCATGTATTATAGATAATTTGTGTGTATATGTATTTTCTGCGGTTTCTCCAATGTTCAATGTTGAATTGAGCGAAGACCTGGATTACGACGAATTTAATGCAAATAAGCTTAATGCTTTTTCTGCTTTTTTGGTTAAAATGCAAGCTTATTTGTTACAGTTTCGTTTATAATTCTTTTAGTTGCTACAATTTCTAATCTTAAATTCTGTAAAGTCTCAGTGCGGTACAGAAGTTTTGAACTTTTTTTAGTCTCACGGACAATAGCTAGTTATAAATAAGACCGCTGAGTTTTAAAACTTGTTTTTGTTTCATTCAAATGTAACGACTGCGCTCATTTATTTTTAGGTAAGCTTACAAATGGTAACTTGACACTTGTTTTTCGGGGATGAGTGGTTGCAATAGAAATGATGAATCAGTGATTCCTATTGTTATTTGTGTTTCTAGGGGCATTTTGATGTATAATTTGTTCCAATAAGTATTTCAATAAAGGAAATTTAAAAACATTCATATTTGTCATAGTTTTTCTGAAGGTTTTAAATTGTAGTATGGAAAGACTCCATGGCGGCAAGTTGAACCGCAAATTAATTAAATCGGACTTGAAGGCCGGCCAATTAGAACCTCAACATGGCTCCTCGCTCAACCTCTGGTGCACGGGACATTTTGAATTCTAAAACCATCTTGGATGCAAAATTAACCCTGTTCAAGGATCTCAGTGGAAGGGGAGGGAGGCGAGCATGCTGATGCGTATTACATGTGACTCTCTACTAACTGAAATTCTGGCACAAGTGCGACCAAAACTGGTGTTGAAATGCTTCACCTTAGGGTCATTGATTAGCTTATTCTCCTCTCATCCTACTAAACTAGATTGTATATTCCCTGCAATAATGACATTGAAAACATAAACTTACCGCTGATATTTATTAAATGAGAGTTGTGCTGTTTAAATTAAATTAAGATCAAAACGCCTCAATTTTAAGCAGCTGCAAAACGTCACATACTGAACTACTGAATCGATGAGAGCCCATTCTTGTATACGACGGCTTTTTGGAATGTCCAAGGTAGTCCTTTGACTGTATATCATGAAACATTCTTGTTGTCAGTAGTATTCTAGAAAGTCTTTTGGGTATGTCAAACTTGCAATTGCACTGTCACAATGGACACAATGTCCTTCGTGGAAATTAGACATGGTGATGGAAATTTTCCATTGCGTTCATTCCATTTGGAGGTATTCAAGACCATATCGAGGTTCTTGCTTGGGTAGGGTGTTTGGAGAAAATGTCAGGAGATACAATTCAAGTGCCTTTTAGGGTTTTTATTTCAATTCTATTTCATATGCATCTAGCGATAACTCTGTGATATCTCCGGCCTCCTAGTTCAATGTATGGTAAGTACTGTGATCTGCATAGTCTTAGACATAGGAAAATCAACCTTGTTTGGAAGGAAGGAGGAATGTTTCCAGGGCAATCGAAAACCAATCACATTGACGGTTTTATTAAAGAACCAATCAAATTGTCGATTAGAAAATGGGACAGTACGTTGTTAAAACAGATTGCACAATTAACAGAGGTAAAGTTTACGTCTCTCTGAGAAACTTACTTTTTCTGTGACTCTTTTTTGTCACCAAAAAGGCTTTCAGGTGTTGAGAAAGGTTACGTGACAAGAAAACTTCTCAAACTCTGCAGATTTCGTGGCGTCTTATAAACGTTAGACTTTCTTTCGGAGTTGCTTCACCTTCATAAGTGTCTTCTCGTTTAGATGGCTTTTAAAATCGGTATTAATTTGAAATGATTTCTTGGAATGTCGAAACCGAAGAAACTATAATCAATCTGATCGATGCTGACAACAGAATAAGACCATGCTATTCTTTAAATTAGTTCTTGTTATAAAATGAGTCCATGAAAATTACCCATTAATCTTCTTTTACCGTTACCTACTATTACAGACTGTATAACTTAGCTGTCTTGCTGGGAAAAGTTCCATTGAAGCTCTTATAAACAAAGCTACTGATCGAAATGTCAAAATCAAACCTTAATTGATAAAACTAGACTTGATATTACACTTCTTAGGGTGAAACGAATTCCTTTTTGCTGTATTTCGTAATCAAAATTGCTGCATTAACCTGATCACAATGCTGCTACTTCCAGAGGCTTTTAATTCACAAAAAAAAAGAAAAAAAAAAAGAAACTCGTGCACGCATTGCGTGCCTCTGTTTAGAAAACTAGTACCACCACAGGTAACGCAAGCTCCTTTGGGAATCGTCAACATGACATTGCGTAACAGCATTATCATGAGGGTTTGTATTGGAATTTAACTATCGTACAAAATAGTTCAAAATAAGGGAAAAAATAAACTCGACTTACCTGTCCTGTTGTTTGTGTTTTTATGGCGACTTCAGTACCAGCCCCTGATCCGCTACCTTGATCGCGTGACATTTGTATTTGTCACGCACTGTTTTTGCTTGGCGTCCGCCATGTTGAATGGGATGTCGAGTTAAACGCTGCTTCCTTCTACTAGGGACCTCGTCGTTGAGCTAAGATGTCAGAATACGAGTATAGTGGTCTTCTCTTCGACATCAGTGAGAAACTAGACGTAAACAAGCTGTCAAAATTGCTTTTCATGTGCAGAAAAGATATCGCGCAGGGCAGCGAACGGAACATTCGCGATGTACGTTCACTTTTTACTGAACTAGAAAAACAAAATCGAATTGGAATTGATCGCCTAGAAAATTTGAAAGAAATATTGACACAGATGAAGAAACCATCGCTGCGTAAGAAAGTGGAGGAGTTTGAGATCAGAAGGAAAGGTATTCATAAGATTTCTGATGCCGGAAGTGAATCAATTCTGATCAATCATAAGGTGATAGACAAAACACTGACCCCCAGTCCATGGACTACCCCAATGGACTAACCAATTGACTACCCTAAAAATAATATTTCAAATGAGTACTATTTGATGTTCTTAGCTGCTAGTATACTTCAATTATACATAACGTCCGCTGATGTTCATCCTGTGCAGCCTCTAGCCACCATTTTGAATATAATTGTACTTAAAATAAACAACTGCTGAACACAAAATAGTGTGAAATGCATAAACTCAAACCAAATTTCATCATTTGATTATCAATGGCTGTTATCAATCAGAGGTGCCAATCAGTATCAGGATCATACAAACATAATAACTTGAAAAATCATTGAAATGTGAGTGAGGAACCCTCTCTAATATTTGATTTATGAATAGCACATTAGTTAAATGTAAATGTCACACAGTGATTTTCAGTTTTATTNAACATAATAACTTGAAAAATCATTGAAATGTGAGTGAGGAACCCTCTCTAATATTTGATTTATGAATAGCACATTAGTTAAATGTAAATGTCACACAGTGATTTTCAGTTTTATTCCATTCGATTCAGTCAGCCACTACACATGCACAAGCTAAAACATGACATGGTAAGAGATGACAAGAATAATGGCTGAATAGTAAACCTTCCAGAAACAATGACAAATTAACAAGGTAGTCAGAATATTCAGTTCCGTTCCATCTATTAACACATATGGCCCTTAATTGTTCCTAAATAATTTGCAAGCAAATAGCCTGAAACTCAATGTTTAAAATGCATTTGAAAAAAAAAAACACTGGTTGTTGGCATTAAATAATTTAGTGGAATAGCCATTTGTAGTGGCAGGTCCAAGGGGCATAAATAAGGCATTCAAAAGGAGAGGGGGGAATTTGGTCTTTTGGTCCTTACAATAATTGCAACCCTAAAGTAGGGTGGGGGGCTGCATTACAAGAACCGGATCTAGCTTTATTTGTTGCAGAGCAATAAAAGACATAATTTCGTCATAGACACCTGAATAATGAGTTATAAGTTAGGCTACCCTGAGGCTGGAAGATTGTAAACAATACACCTGACTATGAGGTGAATCTACTTGTCTTTTTTGTGTTCAGTGGTTTCAGAACAAAAAAGGCAAGGTATAGAAGCTTACAACTTTAAATAGAACTTATTTGAAAATATTATGTTTAGGGGTAGTCCAATTTAGAATAGTCCATTTGAGTAGTCTATTGGGGTAATCCATGGACTGGGGGTCAGTGTTTTGTCCATCCCCCAATCATAACGCTCAAAACCGACTTCCCTTTACACTTGAAGTGAACTTTTTCTAAGAACTGGACAGTGACTTTTAATGCTTGCCGTTCAAGAACTTGTATTAATTTAATTTTACAATTTGTGATGATTAACGTAAGGGATTATGACAACCCCACGTAGTAAGTATTGTTGTTTTTATTTCAGCCCAGTCAGTTGGTATAGTTTCTTCATTGAAGCGAGCGGCAACATGTATAAAGGGAGGTGAGAAAGAACAAATGTGTTTAAACAATCCGCATTTATAAAGGTAGCACTGAATATCCTTGATAGTTGAGGTAAGATTAGTATTCCGCACACTTGAAGGGCACATTTGCAATAGAATGTTGAGCCAAATATTATGCAGACTGAAAAAGTGTGTTTGAATGTTTAGCCTGCACGTAGGGTAAACATTCATCTGAGTGAAATAGAGAAATGCTACAAAAAGTAGTAAAGAACTTGAGGGAAACAGTTTTTCCTTTAGGGGACCTACACCTTTATCATTTGGAACTGTATTGATAGGGCATCAAAATGCTTGGAAAGGTCGATGGTTTAAAGGCAACACTTAAACATAACACTGTCTGTAAGGACTTTGCAATAATTACCAGTGCGGGGATTGGGGCAGTGTCTAATAAGGTTGGAAATTAAATTTAATTCATGTAACAAAGAACTTAGGCGAAAATTAATTATAGTTAATTCTCACCCCAGCTATCAATAAGCCCCTCCATAGTGCAAATATCCTAAAGTATATATTTTTTCTATTTAATTGGTACACTGGTGTGACAGGCCAGGAGCAGGGGGAAAGTGTTCCAAAATTGTTCTGATGACTTTATAAAGCTGGGAGAACTTAAAGTGCCTATCTAAAATGAAAAATAATTGCTGCTTATTTGAAAGGCTTTTCAAAATAAAGAAGAATGGTGTTTCCTTTTTGGAATATCTTTTGTTTTAGAGATATTGTCATTTTTGTACTCCAAGCCATAGATGGCAAGGCTACTCAGGAACGTCATAAAACCATTTTTTATGTGTGTGCAAAAACAAAACAAACAAGCAAGTGTTCAAGCAAAAAAGAAAAACAGTGTGCATTGAATAAGAGTCTTAAAAAGCTGCCACCACAATTCAAACAAATGAGAAAAGTTTATTTCATCAGTCTACTTTTTTAATTTTCACAAAAATATTGATCACCCCATGGGAGATCTGGAAAGTGCAATTTAAAACCACTTTAGGAGCCCTGTTTTTCATAACAAAATCAAAATTATTGTGATTAAGGAAGAAGAGTATTATATGTAAAAAAAAAAAAAAGAAGAAAAGGGAATGATATTTTAAATCTTTACAAGACAGCAAAAGTAAAAACTTACTTGTTTTTAGGTTCCTAATAGGGAAGTAAGAACAATGCAGGGGTTTCATTAAGGGCTCGTGACAGGGCACTGGACAATTTGACTGGATGTGAGGATGATTTTGCCCACCTGGTTTGACCTTCAGAGGAAAGTTTTTCTTTTATTCAGAAGTTCAGTTCAAAAAGTTTTGCCCGCCTGTGAAAACCAGTTGCAATATCCTGCTGAAAATGAGGCAGATAATCTTTTGTTTTAACCTCAAAAACTGGACAGAGCTTGCTTGCATTGTCAACGCGACAGTGTGTTGTCTTACAGAGCTCCACAGCCCCCCGTTAAGCTTCACCACAAAAAATTTGAATTCCTTTGGTTGGGGGTGATTGAATTCTTTTCTGGAACTGCACAATCAAGTTTAAATGCTTTGGAACAGTGGACAAGAGACTTTGCAATTAAAGTAAAAGCCTAATACAAACAAATATAAGGTGTATAATCATGTTGCATGGATCACAAATGCTGCTGACACGTGGAAACATGAAAGTTATATTGCACCTGTCAAAACATCTGCAAGCATTAATACAGGTTAATCATGTGCTGGAAGAAACCACAATGGGATTAGTTTTTGTTTATAGTTTATAATTATTTAAAACTAGGGGGACTTTCTTTTGTAAACATACTTTACATACATACTTTATTTATTCTAGAAGCAAGCTAGATATATATACATATAAAAAGTACAAATCAGAGAAAAAAGAAAGAGGCATCTAGGAAACAAAGTTATGAGGTTTAATCTCTATGTGAAAATGCCCTTAAAATTAAGTTCAATAAAATCAAAGTTAAAATTAAGATTATTAATTGCAATTAAATATTTAAGGACGTTTGCGCTAATTGTTTCTGCACATCCTTACTGCGCATGCAAATTCACAAGCCACGTCATGCATGGGAGCACGCTAATTAAGTAATAAAATGAACAATGATAGGGTAGATGACTGTTGCTATAGCTTTGCCTGGATTTAACAATCTTGGACGTTTGGTAAACCCTACTTTTCTTTCCAGAAACAGATTTTATTTACAATTGTAATCTCCATATTGTCCAAAAATGAACAAAAAATCAATGTAGGAAGTTAAAAAAAAAAAAAAATCAAGATTTCTGTCCACGGCCGGGACATCAAATCCTGCCATCTTATGGCTGCAAGGCATGTGAACCTTATGTTCGCTAAATGCGAACTTGTAAGGATCAACTCACCAGTTGACTAAATACTTAAAAGGTCCACTTAAACAATATTTGGTAGAGAACATTTCACTTCAAAGATCTAATTGCAATATTTTTGGTCTTCCAGAGACTGTGGCATAGCTTATTCACTAACGAAGCCCAATTTTTTCAGATTTAGGGTATTCTTCTGGTCATGTTCTCTCCAAAATGAAGTCGGTGACCCCCCATTATTTTTGCATTTCTGACATAACTAACTCATCATCTTACAGTGTTAAAAGTCTCAGTAAAAAAATCAATGTTGGAAAATGTTTGCGCCAATGTCTTTAAGTGCAATAAATAGATTTCAACTGCTAAAGATAATCAGCTTCCACTACATCTCTTGGTAATTGATATTCATATTTTAACAATCGTAATGAAAAATAAATATTTCTAACAATTAAGTCTTGTGGGTTTGACATTAAGTTTGTGCAGATGTTTGCTCTTGTAGACCGAGTTGTGGTAAATCAAAAAAGTCTTCAAATTTCAAATGGTAAAAAACAAAAACACTCAACTGAATCCAAAGTTCTTTAAGTGAGTTTATCAGTTGGGCAGAGTAGGCCATTCTAGCAGTTTGCATCGGTCTTCGTAGAACATTGCTCCTTTTTCAACATCCTCCCATGGGCATTACCCCCTGGGTATTAGAAATTTTGAATTTTTGGTTGGTGAGGTCAAATTCTCATCCCTTGACAAGCCAGAAACAGTGTTCAAATGCCCTACCTTAGTGCCTCTGTAGCATGAAGCAACTAGAAGTATTTTTACTCCCCCCTGGATGGGACGCTGAAGTCCATTACAGGGTTACCCCAAAATATTAAGTTTGCCAGTACCCATTTATATTGGGTGGAGAGAGGCACTGTCAGAGTAAAGTGTTTTTCCCAAGAACACAACACAGTGTCCCTCAGGCCAGGGCTTTATCCTGGACCACTTGATCCAGAGACGGCACACTATAACTATGAGGCTATCTCACCTCCCATCCTTAGTGTCATAATAGGTGATTAAATACCCCTTAACTCTCCGGACATGCAAGAGAAAAATGAGTATGGTAATGGAAAACAAAAAAAAAATCATCCTTGAACACCTGTTTTGAACAATGGCAGGTTTACCCCGAGTATTATCAAGAGTACAAATTTTTACAAGCATAACTGTTTAAACGTACCTTCAAACACAAAGCTTTCCAACACCTTTTTTAGAGCCACAATTCCTTACAAAGAACAGGGTTGTCTAGATCTGCTGATGTCTTCTACATGTTTTCTGACACCATAATTTTGACACAACTTTTTCAAATCCCCCCTACCCCTCCCATATGATGTCAAATTCTTAACTCCAATATCAACCACAAAAAATCCCATCCCTAGGGCAAATCAACTAGTCAAATACTCAGGGTATGATACCCCAGGGAGAGGGACGTCAGTTGATGTTTCTATTTGATTGATAATTATTAACGAAGCCAAATACGTACCTAGCAGTCACATATAGTGCATAGTTGTACCCAGTGTCCCAAATTAATAGATCACATATATTTGCCCCATCTTTCTCTCTCAAGTGATTTTATATATAACTATAACTTTGAGCCCCCGTTATCCTATTATTGATTTGCTTTTCTCTCTTCGCTGGTTCAATTTCCCAACTCCCTTCTCGATCTTAGAATGTAAATATAGTGTACGTACACATGTAACCCCTAATGACCCCATCGATTGCAAGCCCACTCATCTCCTACCCCGGGAATTTGTTGAACATTTCTAATTCTTTTACCAAAAATGGGTACTAATTAATGCCTTAAACCATTGTCATGAGTTTGGAAGCAACCAGCACCTCTGGAAAGGAACAAAACTTTACAGATTTCATCTTTGACCTTATGCCCACATTTCTATGTTGGCAAGTGCATTTACAGAACCTGATCTCTAATTTAAACACTGTAATTGCACAATAACAGTAGCTGAGCACTTTTCAGTTGAACGAGTTGCCCCACATAGGATCGCAAATTGAAGCCGTCGAGGCTTATTCCCACTATCTTTCATTCGTGTCACTAGGAAGCAACAATGCAAATTTTTTCACGTGGGGCTTAAAGAGTGTAGCTCGAGTTCGCCTGTAAAGTGCTGACTCCCGAACAAGGTTTACCAGTTCAGTTTTTATGCCTTTTGTACTTAAAGAGTCCCTGCCTGTAAAAATCAGACAAATTCTTAATTTCGCGGCAAGGGTCGAAAATTCGATTTCGCTCATATTCCTATGGTAGATAGGCTAGGGTATG